ACAAAAGAAATGATTATACAGAGTTTAAGTGAGTATAACACCCCTTTACATTTAATATCATTAATAACATTTGTATTGGAAAACAATTTCTTTGCAGTTAAAGGCGAGTACTTTCGACAAAAGGATGGAATATCCATGGGCTCGGTGGTCGGCCCAAAGCTGGCAGAGATTGTTATGAAAAATATAGATAAAACGTTGCTGAACTTAGGTGGAATAGTTTTTCTGGCACGGTATGTCGATGATATATTTATTATTTATAATAGTAAAATAACATCACCAGAAAAAATCTTAAAAGAAGCTAATGAAATTAATGAACATATTAAGTTCACCTATGAGTGTGAAAAATTAGATAGTCTAAATTATTTGGATATCACAATAACCAGGTTTAAAGATCATTTGGAGTATAGTAGGTATGAAAAACCTTGTAACACAAATAAAGTTATAAATTTTAGATCGTATTGTCCAATTAATCAAAAAAGAAATATTTATTTAATGGAAGTAAAAAAGATATTTTCTAGAACAACCAGAAGTGAAAAAAGAATAGAAGAACTCAAAAAAATAAATAAGAAGTACTTGTTGAACAATTATCCGAAAAGATTGCTGAGGAACTGGTATGATGAATATTCAAAAAGAAGATTTCAAGTAAAGCAACAAAAAGAAAGTAAAAAGTATGTTTCTTTTCCATATATCCAAGGTATTTTCGAAAAATATAAAAAAACTTTTTGTGAAAATTTAATACAATTGGCTCCATTCCAAAACAAAAATAGATTATCTGAATTAATTAAAACTGAATCTTACAGAAAAAAAGATTTTTTAGAAGAAGAAAAAGTAGTTTATAGGCTTCAATGTACGTGTGGAGTACCGTATTATTACGTAGGAGAAACGAAGCGGAAAATTAAGGTGCGGATGTCGGAACATTTGGCTGCAATACGAAATAAAATTAATACATTCCCGGTTGTTTTGCATTGTCACGTAAATAATTGTCAATTGGATATTAATAATGTAAAAATAATACATAAGGAAAAAAAATATAGTTCAGAGAAAATTTAAAGAACATTTTGCAATAATTATGGAAAGTAATGTTATGAATTTGAATAATGGAGTGATGCCAGCGGAATGCTGGGAAGAGTTAGTGTTATTTAAGGATTGTAAACGCGATGGTACTAGTGAGAAAGATGTGTCTTTCGTGGATGTTTAAGTGTCTTCTGTTGTATCTTCTACTGAGAAAGATGTGTCGTTTGCAGATTTCGTTCCTGTTGTGCATTCTGGTTGTAAGAAACTCTACTGAAGAGGCCTTAGCATGCGAAATGCATTTGGGGTGAAGTATATTCATTAAAATAAAAGTATTTTTCTTTATGTTAACCTGTTTACCTCTTTCTCAATTTTTATACCAGTTTACATACTCGGGATTTATTAAGCCTCCAAAAGTCAGAAACGACTAGTGAATAGTGCAATACGGTAAAAAATATACATACTTAATTCTTAGTTTTTAGTGTATACTAATGTAAATGTAATATTGTATGTGTTTAATGTGTATGTGAACTATTTTACGAAAAATATATTACAATATCATTAAACAAATTTTAACTGTCATATATTTCGTACGCTCTACACACCCGAATAACTGAAATTATTATTATATTTGTATACAAAAAAGTGTCTTATCATTTTTTGTTTATATTTCGTGGAATAAATTTTAAAATTTTTCGGAGATACTTTATAATAAATTGAACAGTAAACACTTCAAAGGCACAATAATTTATTGTGTGAAAAAAACAACACAAAGATTAATTACTTTTAGTTGCAATCAAGCTCATAAATCTTAAAATTAATAATAATAAATCTAAGATCAAATACTTTCATGAAGTAAAACATATGAATAGATATTAAACGGTATGCAATCCAATTCTATTTCTCAAATTTAAACAGAAATTTCATTCTTTCAAATCAATTGGATGTAACTCTTTGTTTCAATTAAAAAAAATTTTGCAGATGCCTTAAAGATTTCATTAAAAAACCGCTTTTATCTTCACGAAAAATAGCATTTCTCGTGCGACGATTCCTCATTTTGTTATTTAATCGAACTATTGTCGAAGGCTAACAGATTTCTGTTTAACTATTTCAATTGCCATTTTCTTGGTTTCTTCCCTTGCAGAGACAAGTACGGTGATTATGTCTCCACGAAGGAACACCTTGCCAATTCGTTCTTAGGTCTTTCGCTCTTTCCCTTGCACAGACAAGTATGCTGATTATGCCTCCACGAAGGGACACCTTGACAATTCCTCTTATAACCTTTGCTTAAATTCCTCTGATAACCTTCGATAACATTTTAATGACATCTCCACGAATGCATTAAAAATTATCCTTCGCTCTGTTTTTATTAAGCATTAATAATTCGGCCGAAAGTATAGAGCAAATTATACGATGGCGCCTGCCGATGAAAGTTGCACACCAGATATTTGGACCAAATAATTTTGTAATGTGCCTTCTTATTATTGTACGAACGATAGTTCACTAATATTAAAAAAACTATAACTTTTTTCTTTTTTTTTTTAGCTAAACGGAATGTAACGATGATCTACATTCCGCCATTTTACTTTTTTCTTTTTAAGCAGGAGCAGATGATAGATGGAAATCTGCGGAAAAAATCCACAAAAACATCGAAACATGTGGTAGTTTCCTGCAAATAATAAAAATGTTTCGTAAATAAAATATGAAGATAAATCAACAGCAGGTTCAAATTACAATGTTTGTTTAAAAATAATATTACGAAAGTAATATATTACTAAATGTTACGAAGGTAAAGTAACCCGAATGTATAGAATCATTGTGAATACGGGAGAGAAAACGAGTCTTAAAATATGAAAATAATATTGAAATTGAAATTCAGCGAGAAACGAGAATGAATTCATAAGTGTAAATCAAAGAAAATTAGAAAATATTTTCTTACTTTATCATTATCATCCGATTGACTTTTGTATGCAAATCTATCATCATTATTCCTTTTGTTATCCAATCGAATTAATTTTTTCATCTGTTTATTTCTTCCTGTCATTTCTTTGTTTTTATTCTTTAATATAAAAATAATTTAAGAATTTACCTTTATGTAATTTTATATCGTAATGCCTACACCTATTCAAACACATTCATTATAAAAAAATGTACCAGGCTAATAAGTTTATGTAGAAATATATCTCTGAATTTCTATATAAAATTTACAGGAAGTTAGAAAGTAGTATTATTGTGTAAACAGTGAGGTAATGCAGTACAATCACTATGTAAATGAATGTCAAATCGGATTTTTTCCATTATAAATAAATCAAACAATCAAAAATATAATACACTGAATATTAATAGAAAAGTCTGCGTGCCTTTTACGGATTGTCTGTTTTTTAAGTGTATTCGGATACAGGCGTAGACTACGACTTTTATTAATTACACCGAATATCGGTAATTATAATTCCAACAAATTTATATATAAAAAATTATACACAAGTTTCGTGTATCATTTCAATAGAATTCGAATTTACTTCTCGATGTCTGAGTTCTACATTTATACACTATGTGTTTACGTCACATACTCAAATAATGCGGAGAAAGCTTAAGTTTGAAAATAGAAACAAATTGTATAGAAAATTGTAAACTTGTAAAAATTGTAAAGCGGTAAACTCTTCATAAAAATCCAGACAATGGTCGAGACGTGATGGGTGACCCACTTCTATTTTTTTACCTTCATATATCGAAATTAAATGCCCTTACCGTGAAAATTTCGGTTTGTAATGTTTACCTATCCAGAGACATTAAAGGAATTAGAAGTGAATAAACACATACACATATTTCGATTTTTTACTTTTTCTGTTTGAAGGTGTCACAACCATTCCAAAAACCTCCAAGGTCATATAATATAACAGCCGGAACAATTCATTCAATTGTATTAAAATTATTTGAAATTTATCGACATATACTTTGAAGGATGATAAATTAATTTTCAATTAAATTTGATACGAGAAGTGTCCAACAGAATGAATCATTTCGTCAATGTTAAGGTTGTGTTTGTTGCAATTATATTATTCGTTGGTTTACTCCTAATTAATCATGTTTACTAGTGAATATTTATATAATGTTATTGAAATTGTTACTTAAACAAGAACAAAAATCATCATCGAAGTGTTTTTGATGACATAAATGGAATCTTTGTAGAAATGAATGATCTATTTTTGAATTGTTTCGAATATAATAAACTACGACATACAACACACGTGAAAAAGTGCAAATGGATAACTAATATTAAGTTCTATAATTTAAATAAATTTGAACAGAATGAGTTTAACATTAAAAGACTTCTTAATAATTTTTAACAAATTATTTTATAATTTTTTATAATCTTTTTATAACTTCACCTTCAACCAACTCCTCCACTTCTTCCTTTTCTTCATATATTATTTTTTTTTACCAATGAATGCTTCTCTAAAAATAAAAACTCTTTTTTCAATGGTCTTATTTCACATCGAGTACTTTCCAGAAACCAGAAATCATCTTCCTCTTCATCATCGGAACCCTGTAAAAAGTGAAAAGTTCTCATTCCTGATAGAATAATCTTACAGTAGTCGAAATGTTCTTTTATTACTCGGAAAAAATCATTTATTAAGTAATAGAGAATTTGTAGTCATTACAAACAACACTTTTCATAAGATTGTACATTTCTCGTGTTGTGTTTTTTAGTTGTAAATCTTTAAATTATAAGAGTTATTAAATTATTTTCATTGAATTGTAACTTACAGAAGAAGACAATTCTGTTTCTCCCGAAAAATCACTATTTATATCAGATGTTAATTGGATGATACTATTCACTATATTTATAAAAGCATCTTCCTCACCAACAGCATCATCACATGTGGGGTGTTCACTATGAGAATCCATTTTATAATCAGAACCTAGAGAATAAAAGTAAAGGCAATAAATACAGCAATTCGTAAAAGTTTTTTCGTGTTAATTTAATAATTATATAAGAATTTGAAAGAGAAAAATGTAGGAAATGACGAACGGTTTACACCAAATAAACAGATGAAATTCTCATTGTCGAAACATATTTTGTAAATTTTATCCATTGAAAATCCACAGCAATAATACTAAGAATTTAGCAAAAGTCAATTTATTTCTGTTATAAAGAATAAATATTACATTGTGATTTGACATTATTAATTGTGTGGAAAGTGTAAATTGTTACAATCGTAAAATCAATAATTGATATGCAGTTTTACTGAAGAGTTATTCCCGGAGAAATAAATGACTAAATGTTTATTAATAAAATTCAATATTGAGATATTGGTTAAGGTCGGAAAATGAAATAAATTGTTATTTATTTGAAGAAAATACGTTTAATGCAAAAATTGTCTCAAGCAGAAAATGAATGCAAAGTTAATATCGTTAATGGCACTAAGAATAGGCCAATATTCGCCATTCTTATAATTCTATAACATTCTATTGGGAATTCCAGACATCTGGTCGAAAATTACTTTTAATTTTATGTTTCTATATATATTTTCGACACGTTAGTAAACAGTTAATATAATTATACAATAAAAATGTACTTTAACTTACTCATTAATTAATTTTATTTTATTGCACCGAACAAACGCTTCGACAATGGCCGAAAATATATTGTTACTATCTATTGTTTAAGCAACAATTGGAAACGTGCTTAC